GTGTATATATTATTTATCTCGTATAAGATGCATTTGGTTGAGTTGCGCTGCAGTAAACTTCATCATTGTAGTACTACGGTGATTATCTCTTCAGCGTGCAGCGCGAGCAGGACAAACAACAATGCAGAATATTAATAACTATGACTGGGACTGTCATATACATAACAATTATAATGAGAACACTATTATAATAAAACGAGTTTAGTTGTTGTGTTTCTGCACGTTGTTGATAGCCAGATAGCCTATAAGTCGTAATATTAAGGTTATGTTGTATAAATAACGAAGCGTATTCTCTATGAGATAAATGATGAGTTAAATCCCATTGATTAAAAACCTGCTGCTTCATTCTACTGGTCATCTTCAGCGCGCACAGCTCAAAACAGAAATGCAGAACTTTAATAACTACTGTCATATACATAACGTTATAATGAGAGCACTATTGTAAAAAATCTTGTGAATTCTTAGGGTTTTGCTGACGTTTAATGTTAACCATCTTTTAATCAAAACATAAAACATTATTTTTGTATCTGCGAGGCGTCCGTTACACATTTTCCGTGTGTTAATGTCAGTAATTATGACTGTCGAATGTCTGACTTGACTCTTGGTAATGTATTTTGCCCCCTATGTCTGACTTGACTCTTGGTAATGTATTTCGCCCCCTGCCCCCAAACATATGATTTGACTATCAGTCGACTATAGGCAAGATTCGAAAATTCTGATTCGACTATGAAAATCCTTAGTCGGGGACACCCCTATATTATTTATTTCTGTAAAGACATTACATTATCATTTATTTATTACACCTATCTTCAGTGTCACATGATTCTTCAAAAATCATTTTTATAATACTAATTTACTTATTTACTTAAAACAGTTGTGATGCTTCAAGATTTTCTTCAAGATTCTTTGATGAATGCAAAGTTTAAAAGAACAGCATTTATGTGATACAGAAATCTTTTGTAACCGTATAAATGACTTTTCTGCACTACCACAAGCCTTTGTGTACTTCTAGTTTAATTGTACTGTACGTGCAGTTTCAGAGTTAAGGTAAAATTGCAAAGCTTTATGCTACATATTTTCTGAATAAGTCAGAAAAAACAAGTTGCAATTATACCTGTTCTTCCTTACTCGACAGCTCTCTAAAATATATAATTTAAAGACTGGTGAATCGTAAATTGATCATTATAAAGCACTTCAATATCTGCTTAAAATGTTAAACAATATTTTTCATTCAGTTAAAAAGTGCAAAGAGCAGAAGTCAATACTCTAATTGGCCCTCAGTGGGGATGCTGTGACGGCAAGATAAGGAAGCAGTGATGGAGAGAATCATTATTGAGTCTGGTTATGAAAGAGAGGCAAAGCGATGTGTTGGGAGTCACTGCCTATTGACTTGCTCTTCTTATAACGCATATTGTCTGGGCAAATCCACAGTCCATACTGTCTGCAGAGCACCAAGAATCATTTCTGCAATGGGCAGATAGCAGCTTCTCTATGTGAGTCCTCTCAGTTAGAGTTCAGTCACTCATGGACTCACCCAGAGGAGGTGAAATGAAGTGGCACCACAGACATGCTCCAATCTATAACCTCCTCAACATGAGCTCAAACTTTCACATCGTTTTAGGTGCTGGGTTTCATTAATGCGAGCAGCAAACAAAAGTTTGTTTTATTTCATACAGAGCACGAGGAATGCTGCCTTAGTACCTAGTAAAAAAAAAAAAAAAATACAGGTTTAGCGAAAAGAAAAATGCTCTGTGCCTTGTGCACTAATTAAAACTAATTAAAAATACTCACTGTCTTTGTACAAGACAATCCCTTTCAGCTATGAATATGGATGCATCAAAATTTAAATTCTAGGTGATACCGATAAGCCAATAATAAAAATTTTATTCTCCTTTGTGAAAACAATTAAAAATATATTTAAAAAGAAACAAAAAACTAAAATCAATCACGTTAAATGCTAAAAGTGAATATTAAAATGTACAGTATGAAAATCGATATTTATCAGAAACTAAATATTATATTTAGCAGTGCTAGAATTAACACTGCTAAAGACTTTTACATTGTTGTAGATTTCGATTTCAAATAAAATGCTGTTCTTTATTTATTTTTTCTCAGCATTAATAATAAAAGGAAAGATTTCTTGAGCGCCAAATCAGCATTTAAGAATGATTTCTGAAGAATCACTGAAGACTGGAGTGATAACTTCTGAAAAAACAACTTAATAAATTACATTGTAAAATATATTAAAATAGCAAACTGTTATTTTAAATTGTAATGTTATTTCACAATATCAATGTATATATGTATAAAAAAATGCATCTTTTCTTTCAAACAACATAAAAAAAAAACCTTGGTTAAGTATCCAATATTGGCAGATACTGATAAAATTAAAGAACTATAATATTGCCCAATAACCAATGTTTACTGATATATTGTGTATCCTTAACTACAAATAATATTGTAGCCGTTTTATTCAATGACAAAGTTATAGAAAGGGAACAGAAAGACAAAGATAAACCTTACCTGGAGTGCAGTTCTGTGCTTCCATTGTTATATTTGCTTCCCCGCTCCCACATGCCAAAGTCTGGCACACGATACGCTCTCTCCACACAGAACACCAGATTCTGGATGAATGATACCTACAAATATGCAAACATGTCAGGGAAATGTGTCACACCAAGATCTCCATCTCCTTTGCTTGCTATCCAGACATCAGCACACATCAACAAATGTAGGTTTGCTTTGAGATGTAGGCCTGCTCTCAAAGCTTTTCTAGGCCATGGGTGTTTTTATTTGTCAATACATCAGCATTCCTTCGTGTTACCCATATAATATTCTGATTATACATGAATTTATTTGAATAATGATCCACTGTTTAAAGCAGCTAAAGTAATCCATCACTTCCATGGGTGGCATTGGTAATATCATAAGCCCCTCAACACTTCCCATCCCCAGCATGGAATGAGGCCATAGGAAAAACAAGATGAGGGAAAGAATGATGACTTTATGGTACATAAATGAGGAAATGTTCAAACACCCGGGGAGGCCGGGCTGACAGCGCTTTTAATTTAACATGAAGAGAACTGAGGGCCCCTAAAGCACGTTAAAATGGGGCACTGAGGAAGGTAGGCGAAAGACAAAATGCAGAGGGAGAAAGAAGGAGAGAGGGATGGCTTGAGCACTTTTATTTTGGGCCTGGACTAAAATGATTAATGTGACAAGCTTTATGGTATCTTAATGAATACTGCTGGCCCGGGGTGGCACCATTTTCTCTCTTCTTCCTTCTCTCATCTGCAGAGAGAAAATGCAGAGCAGGAGTGGAACTTTTCTGAGCATCAAGATGGATCAGTCATGGTCGTTCGTGTTTGCTGGATAAGGTGTTTTAGTTAATAATTGTACAGTAACTGCTGAAGCGGCCCTTAGTCTATATGTCTTTCTAATAATAGATTTAAACTATGACATTTCTTAATCAGTCATAGTAATACACGAGTTTCACAATTTGAGTTAAATTACTGAAATAAATGAACTTTTCCACGACATTCTAATTTATTGAGATGCACCTGTACATACAGTAATGGCTCAAGATTTAAATGAGCTTCAAAACGAAGACGACACATAGAAACGGCTCTTTAATGGATCTTTAGCTATGCTTAAACATATCAAATGACTTTAAGTTCCTTCCAGTTCCTTCAAGCAGAAGGAACTGCATGAAATATTCTGAAAGATATCAGTCCACAACTCTGACTTGTAATGCAGCCTGGAATTAAGACACCATGTTGGCTAATCTGGCCAGAGAACTGCTAGCCTGGTTTCTCCTAACGTTTTTTTCTCCATTTCTGTCAACAATTGAGTTTGGGTTCCTTGCCATTGTCTCCTTTTGGCTTGCTTAGTTGGGGACAGTGTTGGGTAAGTTACTCTAAAAAAGTAATTAATTACTAGTTACTAATTACATCTTCAACAGTGTATTTAGATTACTGTACAAATTACTCTCTCCAAAAAGTATTTAATTACTTATTACTAATTACTTTGTAAATCCTTGACAAGTGATACAAGGATATACACGAAATGGTTCTTTTAATTATTTCAAATAAATAAAAGATAACTAGATAAATGATTCTGGTCACACTTTAGATTAGGGTCCATTACTCGCTATTAACTAACTATTAACTATGACTTTTGCTTCAATATACCCCTAATTACTGCTTAGTATTAGTCGATGACATTCAGGACCTGTTGCGCACCAAATCATCCACCATGGTCTTGTCAGTCACTTCATTTTGAGTTTATTCAATGACTTGCTCACAGACTTTTCATTAATGGATGAATCTGCATTTTTGAACAAATCTCTTGAACAAATGATTCAAAGACAAGTACCGACCTGCGGCGGAATCAAGTACGATTGTCTAGAATCAATCTGATTGAAGTGGTCGTAAGTACCTAGGTACTATTATCGATAATAAATACAATTTTGTAGAGAATACTGATAGACAGTGTAAGATGAGCCAACAAAGACTTTATCGTCTGCGGAAAATAGCTAAATTTAATATTGATAGGACACTGATGACCGCTCTTTGTAAGGCTTACATTTAATCGATTTTAACGTTGTCATCGATTTGTTGGTTACAAAAATCATAATTGTCGATTATTCCCTTGAAATTGTAATTGCGATTATTAATTACTATTATCACAATTTACATTGATTGATGTTATATCATTGTTAGAAGCAACCGCGTCCGCATGCCATATTTTCAGATGAAAATAAACAAGCTGAAAACCCTCAAACTGAAAAACCTTTATTGCTTTTCTATAGTATTAAGCCTCAAATGGCATCTATTCATTGGATTGGTTTCTTCTTTAAATAAAAAAAAGTTAAAATATGCATGGTATTATAATGTCATACTAAAACTAAAATTAAAACAATGGAAAAACCCTTAAGATAAATTGTAGAAAGAAAAAAAACATCTTAAGCACACAGAATAACTTAAGTGGACTTTAAACGATTAATTGGCGCTTTGAACGATTACATAATTGTGACATCCGTAATTGTAATCGCGATTAGAAATTCGATTAATTGTGCAGCCCTATTACACAGTATAATCCCTTACTTTATAAAGAGTAATCCCTTACTTTACTATTTCAATGGAAAGGTAATTAAATTACAGTAACTAATTACTTAGTAACTAGTTACACTCAACACTGGTTGGGGACACTTGATATCTGCCAATATTATTGACTTGACTACATGGTCACTACTGGATGTGAACTGAACTGAGCTGAGCTGAGTTGGATGATGGCATCACTGTTTTCTCCAGAGCTAAGCTGAATTAAACTCATTCCAACATTGATGGACTTTATACAGTTATTGAACCAAACTGAATCAACAATTACCTGATTTTAACTGAATATTGACTGTTTACTGTTGTCTTTTTTAGAGCTGCTTAACACCAGAATTACATTTTTTGCATCACTATTTTCTTGTGTATCACTGTAAAGCTGTTTTGTAAAGCTGTATTGTATAAAGCACTATATAAATAAATGTGACTTTAAATGTTGTTAAATATTCCTACGGAATAGTGGCAAGATAAGTAAATATTGCATTTTCTCACTTTTTACACAAATTTTAGGGTAACACTTTATTTTAAGGTGTCCTTGTTACACATGTTACATGTACTTACTATTATAATAACAATAAATTATGCATAATTACATGCAAGTACCCTAGGCCAAAGCCTAATCCTAACCATAAAGTAAGTACATGTATTTAAATAATATTACTCAGTACTTAATTGTATAATTTCACTGTAACAAGGACACCTTAAAATAAAGTGTAACCAATTTTAGTTTTCACTGTACTTGTAAAGCTCAAACATTCAAAGTTGATCAAGAACTACAAACCAACATGTGGTCCCAAACTAGCAAGTTCTCACTTAACATCTCAATTTAGCCTGAAACTGCAAACCTGTTGAGCATCCCGGTGTATTTGATTGCATTCAAACCTTTCAAAAAGAATTTCATCACACAAACTAGGGTTCATCTGTATTTAGACTCTATCCCAAATTTTGGTGAGTTGAAAAACAAAACAAAACCTCAATTATTGAAAAGTGTCAGAAACAGGATGACATTCAAATATGCAGATAAGGTTGGAACCATTATTTTTCATTTGTCAGATGGACGACCCCCCTGGAGCAACTAGCTACAATTGAGGGCTACTAACCACTCAATCCAAATCCAAAGCCAACCCAGAACCAAGGCACACATTATATAAGAAAAAATGCACTGCCAATGATGAGTAGGAAAAATATTAAACTAGCAATTTCTCCCCGATTTGTTCTGCTGTTCATTAATAATGGAATGGAATGGGCTGCTGATTTCACAACTGTTTTTTTAATTGCATTACACACCCGAGCAGGCACTGTTTAGAGACGTCAATTAGCAACTCTTTTGCAAATAGCAAAATAAAAGCTACTGTGACAATTTGTTAAGATTTGGGAGAGCTCAGCTAGAAAGGTGATTCTGCCTGTCATATACACGATATAGCTGTACATGGTAATTGCCTAAAAACACAACATTTAAGAGTAACAACTTCCAAGAAAAGGACAATGTGGCTGAATAAATAAAAGCTGAAGTTATTCAACAGACAGTGGTTTATCAGCAGAGTGTTAAATAAATGCCCCTGGGAGTGGACAGCAGGAATAAAAGACGCTGTTAATGAAGTCTGTGGAGCCCAAAGAAAAGAGAAAGATTACACAACTATTACAGCAACCACTAATACATCTCAGTGTCTCCTCTGGTGTGTGAGTCCATGGTCAAGGGTGAGAGCTGGCAGGATTTGAAGAGGCCTTTTAACGACAGTTTCATATTTGTGCTACAGTATTTTCCAAATAGAGTGCTTGGGCAGTTGCATAAGTGATCTCTCAGCTAGGTAAAATGCAGGAATTGGCATTTATGCTCTTTGCCCTTAACCATTCCAACTCAGCTTAACTTTATTTCTGCAGTAATGTTTCTTACAGCTAAATTGCTAAATGTAGTCATGGCCAGAATGCCTACAAGAGCTAAGAGCAAGTCCTCAGGCAGACAGAGAGAGAATCGAGTGGCTAGCAAAAAGATTTTGGGGCATAAACCATTTCTCTGCCTAATCTACTGCAAATCATCATGGCAAAAACTGACAGTCCCATTGAGGTGAAAAATCCCAATTCTTAAATTCTTATCTATAGTTCTTACTACAGCATACAGTACCATCTTACAGATGATGTACCAGATGGCAATACCTTTGTAAACATCTAGAGAATTAAATATTTTGGTGTGTTTTTCCTAGTTTGCAGTGTAAAAATGCAGTCACATTAGCGAAATCTCCGCAAAATTTCATGGACAAAAAGGTCCATTGTTCATTGTCCACCTTTCTGTTGGTCAATGCCTCGAATTCGTATGACTTGAACCTGTTGCTATGTCTGTGCAGGTAAATCTTTTGCCCTCACATGCCCCACTGGATTAGAAATTTCCATAGATTCCTATAGACATGTCTAGATTTAGTCCATGAAAATTCACTAAACAACTACAAATGTGGCAGCACAGCGTGTATTTTTGTAAAGCTGCTTTGAACAACATGCATTGCAAAAAAGTGCTATGCAAATAAACTGAACTCAACCGAATTGGACTTAACTGACATGAATTAAACTGGTACTGTTATTTTTTTATAAATAGTTCATGCAGTCATACCTCATCTGTATTGTAGATTATTTGTAGGCCAGAACAAATAATTTCAACCAGGTACAACAGAAATAGAGACAAGGCATCAATCTGAAAAGAAAAGCAAAGAAATATCCAAGAATGGTTATAGTTAGAGCCGTTTTACAATGATATAACTTTATTCTCACACTAATGTAAAGGGTAATGGTGAGTAAAAGGAGAATCTGACCGCAATTTGAAACTCTGAAGTTTTCATTACTTGCCCATTACTGGACAAAATTGAATTTTAATAGTTTAATTCAAAAGGTTGAATTCATTTTGTGGGCTGTTGACCGCTGGACCAGTCAGCAGATATTACATCAGCATATATGAAATAAACAAGCAGTCATAAAGAATGAGATGAGATAATCCATAAAATATAATCAAATACTGAAAGAGAAGGACACGAGAGCTCATTACAAAATTCTCAGTACTGTTAGAGAGGATACTCATAGTATATAATGACTTTTTTTTTGATTGAGAGTGACAGGCAGCATACATATCACTTATGTAAAGCAAACAACTATGGGGCAGTTTATATGAATATAGTTTGTGAATGCAGTGTGGGAAGCACCTGTAGATGGCTGTACTCTTCATATGAATAAACCTCATCTCCAGTCTGCACGTTAAATATTGAGTGCAGGCACGTGGACGGACTCGGGTCCTGCTTAAACTTTTCCACCTGTGAGAATATTAGAGTGAGAGAGAAAAGATGGAGGAAAAAGAGTAGTCAATGAAAAATGCAAGATATAACCAAGGTATTGGCCATTTCATAATTTATCAAATGCTTACCAAGGTAAGTGAGTCAGAAGAAAAAAAAGGAGGAGTGTATTGATATTTCTGCAGGTCATAGTTGTGCTCCTGAACACAATTTTATCTCATTTAAAGTACCATTCTGTAATATTACATTATATCAGTAAATGTACATTAGCTTTTAAACTGCAAATTACAATTAAGATGACGTAGGTATTTGGGAGCAACTCTGAATGCGTACATCTCTCCGCAAGAAAGATGTAGTGCTCCCAGATGTCTACTTGGCTTGAAATAGATGCTCAATCAGGATAAGTATCTACATAACTCAAGCTTTAGAGTTTTTAGGGCTTTGCTGGACACAATACATTCTCTGCCACCAATGATACAATGGCAAAAACATTTGAAAATGCCATAATGCCGGCGATATTTTTGCACGCAAGCTGATTTCAGACATGAGAATTCTCAGATAAGGAGAATTTGGGAAGATGTGCTGAATGTTGGGTATTAATCCAAAAGGAATTGCTGTGGCAACATCAATTTGAAGCTACATGTGTACTTCATATTAAGTGATTTCATAATTGTTTGGATGGATGTAGGAACAATAATAATGATGGCATAATAAAGTTTATAAATTAACAATATTGGATAGGAACGATAAAAGGACATTTCAATAATGATTATCTCCCAAAAAACAGATGTACAGCATGTATTAGAGAAAAACAAACATGTTTTTTCTGCATTCACTCTATTATAAAGAACAGGCAAAATACGAAGTGCAGTTCATAGCTGCAAGCAGTAAAGGTCTACTGTGACATTAATTCTAGCATACATACATAAAATAAATACAGCTTTTTAAAAACAGTACATTCTTATTTTTTTATGATGAAAAGAAATTCATTTTAAATGCAGTGGATGTCATATTTCTCTCCTGTGAAAAATGCCCAGACCAATCGTGACACATGCTGCAGATATTGATATTTATTTGCTCTAACGTTTGCTTATTAAATACCAGATTGTTATAGAGTTGAAGACATAACATACCAGATGAAATTAAAAGGTGATCAAACAGAAAGAGATGAAGATGATAAATAAACGGCACACTGAACAGATGCGAGTCATAAACTCAAGTAAATAAGAAGATTATGCAGACGATAGGTAAGGCTTCTGCACTGAATCACCACAGAAAACCAATCACCTACCCAGCAGACGTGACTGCCGCAGGGTTTTTTTCCCAGACGTTGAGAATGAGGTCACAAAATATATATGCATGATTATTTAATGTGGCACAAAAATGAGTCATAAACTGCAAAATAACAAATAAAAAAGCAGAAAAACAAAACAAAAATGAAATAAATCAATTAAAGATTTCATTGCAGATGCACTACACACTAGTGACAGCCAAATATCAGTTGATTAATCGATATATACAGATATACTAGTCTATTTTGAATTTAAAAGTAGTCTATTTTATCATATTTATATATTTAATCATTTTAACGGAATTTTTGTGTACTGGCTATATGTAATTTATAATTCAATGATAACAAATGGGATGTACACAAAACACACACATTTAATAACCCATATCGGATGATTGCTACTAGTTGTGACACTGGACCATCAAGATATTTTCACACACAGACTGTATCCCATAAATCCCACACAGCCCCAAGGATTTCTCCAATCTTCCACACATGCATTAACCGAATATCATCTCTTCTATAATCCTGGAGACACAGTGGGATTCTCTGCTCTAGCTCAAAATGTCAGTGTGTACAATATAACAAACAACATCCCTTGACTATTTTGTCCTTAACACAGATACAAAAAAGTGAATACATGTTGCACAGAAGCCGGTAAACCAAAAACAACATGAAAAATGAACCGCATGACTAAAGCCATCTCTAGCAGTCATTCACATAATCCTAGAGTTATGGAAGGGAACCTTCACCCGTCAATACAGCAGAAAACTGGGCCGACCTTTCCCACTGACCGCACCACACACACGGGCCCCTACAGCATATTTTAAGTGTTATAAATAAGTGGCCCATTTTTTTATTCTTCACTTCCCCTCTCTCGTCAGGTCATGAGAGGCATTCTTCTGTTCCAGATACACAATGATTTTTTTCACACCAGTTACACAGCTGTATAACGTACTCGGTTACTAACGTAACCTCGGTTCCCTGAGATACGGGAACGAGTACTGTGTCATGCTAGATGCATATGGGAACACAGTACAATCACGCCGTGCTAATGTAGTGGAACGACTAAAAGTATCAAACTTCCATAAGCAACCAATGCCCATAGAGAAGTTAACAACAACCCAAGGCTAAGACGGGCTGAGCTTCCTTAATCGTTCCAGAGTACTCCTGTAACTTCGACACCCAGGGTCGAGAGCTAACAGGTGAACTAATGCCAGAGAGCTTGAGCGTGATACGGCCAAGGGCTCTCTGCCAGATCTGTTTACACAGTGCATGTCACTTCAAGTGTAAAGGACCCTTGCCTGCAAGGCCAGGACTTCCAGGTTATAAAACCTTGCGAATGTGGATGGCGAGGCCCAGCCGGCCGCCTCACAAATATTCGCAATGGACACACCACTGGACCATGCCCAAGACGAGGCGATGCCTCTAGTCGAGTGGGCCCAGGCCCAAAGAAGAGTACACTAGCGAGATGGAGTCTACTATCCATCTAGAGAGTCTTTGCTTCGTAACCGGAAGCCCTTTGGTGCAGTTACCGAAGCTGACAAAGAGTTGTTCTGACCGCCTATAGGGGGCGGAACGCTCAATATAGATTCTCAGAGCTCTGACGGGGCAGAGCAGAGATAGCTCTCTGTCCTCTTCAGAGAAATTGTGTTTAAGACTCGCTCTGGGAGGCTCAAAGGCTCCCGTCAAGCCGCGGCCAGGGGTGCAGGGCCCATAGGTCGGGCTGAGGATGCCATATTGTCCCGTTCGCTTGAGAGAGGAGACCTGGAGGACCGCCATTGAATGAAGCGCCGAAGCCGCCTGTCCAGCTGAAGTGTAGGCGCGTCCAGCGAGTGCTGAAGTGGTGCTACATGGCTTGGACGGGTGAGCGGCCTTTGCTCTCCAGCAGATGCGCGGCCACTGACTCATCTAGGGGAGGTGACTTATCGTACCCTTTTTCTTCAGCGCCGTTGATGGAAGTGAGGGCGGATGAAGAAGCAGTATGGAGGCGTGGAGTAGGGAGCGCGCCACGATCTGGTGAGCTCATTATGGACCTCTGGGAAAACGGAGAGGAACGCTGACGAGGGGCCTGGCGGCGCCCGGGCAGGAACCACTCATCCAGACGGCTGCGGGAGGGCTCCTCTGGCGGAGACCACTCTAAACAAAGCTCTTCAACCGCTTTGGAGAGGATACGGAGAAGCTCGCATCCATCCCGTCTTTGGTGGCGCTGGGCGCGGACGATGGCGAGGGGGTGGGATCATTCACCAAGCTTAACAGCTCCTCTGCATCCGATGCTGCCAATGACATGCTGTCATCAAGCAGCTCGTCCTCACTTCCCCCAAATGAGATCAGGTCGCTCGCACCAGCAGAGGGACGCTGACCAGACTGAAAAGGACGGGAGAATACTCTCTCTGGGGCGAGAGCGAGGCACGCAGGATCTGGGCTGACGTGGGCTCGCTCGCAGCCGGTCGCTTGAGCCCTCTGCCCCGCTGATTTTTCCTCAGGTCCCTGGGAGGAAGAAAACGGGAGGGCGCGAGGGGCGGAGTCGCTCTCTGAAAAGAAAGCGATCCGTGAGCAGAGAGAGGCGAGACTGAAGTTCTCGCAATGGGAACAAATAGCTCCCGTGAGCGCAGCTTTCACATGGGATTTCCCCAAGCAGGAACATTTGCAACAATGCCAAGCTCTTTTAGTAGCTCTTTTAGTATCTCCGGATGGTGGCAGGGGAAACGGACCGGAACTGCTGCGTCACTGAAGCGGCGGAGAAGCAGGTAAGCCGTGCTGAGAGGTCCCGATTCCAGCTGCGAAGGCGTGTCA